AGCCTGGGCGACAGAGTGAGACTCTGTCTCAAAAAAAAAAAAGAAATGATAATCTTTAGAGAAACATTATTTAGGCCTTTAACTGGTAATTTCTTTCTTCTTATCAATTGGGTTAACGGAAATAACTTCAAATTTTAAAACGGGAGTTAATAAAAGGACAAACAGAGGAAATTTGCAAATTGATAAGTTAGGTTGATGGTGATAATATAGGGGGAAATTTCATAAGAATAATATATCAAAATGCTGTGCTCACTGTAGAGAAAAACAGAGTTTTAAAAGAGAAAAGAGGCCGGGCGCAGTGGTTCACGCCTGTAGTCCCAGCACTTTGGGAGGCTGAGGCAGGTGAATCACTTGAGGTCAGGAGTTCGAGACCATCCTGGCCAACATGGTGAAACCCTGTCTCTATTAAAAATACAAAAAAATTAGTCAGGTGTGGTGGCAGGCGCCTGTAGTCCCAGCTACTTGGGAGGCTGAGGCGGATAATCACTTGAACCTGGGAGGTGGAGGTTGCAGTGAACTGAGATTATGCCTCTGCACTCCAGCCTGGGCAATAAGAGTGAAACTCTGTCTCAAAAGAAAAAAAAAGAAAAGAAAAGACTGAAGTTAAATTAACACTTCATTTTGTACAAGCAGTGTAAAGTTTACAAGCAAACTCTTTGTATTCTTTTCAGTTTAAGATTAACATGTCCAAGTTCAGAACTCTTCAAGGTAAACTGTGCAGTACTGAGACAAGAAGCTGCTAGGCAGCAGTCAAGACTGAGTTCAAGATTGAACTCAATCATTGTCACTTAAGCAGGTATAGAGAAAATTCACTACGCCTACATCTAGGAGGTTTCCTCAGTATAGGGCTTACTTATTTATATATGTCAACAATAAAAGTAATGATGCCAATTAACCAAGGTGTCAGCACCAAAATTGTCTCTAAAACACTAGACCCTAAGTTACTATTTCTAATATTGGGAAACTAGGAAGGCATATGTGATCCATTATCCAAAATCACCATTTTTTTTTTTTTTTTGAGACACTCTCACTCTGCTTCCCAGGTTGGAGTGCAGGGGCGTGATCTTGGCTCACTGCAACCTCTGCCTCCCGGGTTCAAGCAACTCTTCTGCCTCAACCTCCCAAGTATCTGGGATTACAGGCGCGCGCCACCACGCTTGGCTAATTTTTGTATTTTTAGTAGAGACAGAGTTTCACCATGTTGGTCAGGCTGGTCTCGAACTCCTGACCTCAAGTGATCCCCCCTCCCCTCCGCCCCCCATCTCCCAAAGTGCTGGGATTACAGGCATAAGCCACTGCACCTGGCCCCAAAATCATTTATACAATGAAAGTAGCAACATTAGGTTGAAACAAGGTTTCTCCACCTCAGCACTATTGTCCTTGGGGACCCAGATAATTCTTTCTGGTGGAGCTACCCTACACAATGCAGGGCGTTCAGCAGTGTCCCTGGTCTCTATCCACTAGATGTCAGTAGCACCCCCATCCCTGCCCACTGCAATTGTGACAACCAAAACTGTCTCTCCAGACATTGCCAAATGTTCTCTGGGGGGCAAAACTGCCCCTGACTGAGAACCCCTGGGTTAAAGTACAATAGGGTTTGCACATGAGGCAAAAATCTTTTATCTCCACATGTACCTTAACCTGATGATAACTTAAAGAGAATAGAACCATTTTGTTACCTCTTAATTATTCAGAAAATATTGGGCTAATTATTATAAACCTCTTGAAATTGTTTTATTATGTAGACATATCATTTTCATTGCAATTAAAATATGAAGGATCGCATTTGATTAAAAATCTACAACTTCTAGAAAATTCCTGAATGGTGCTAAATGGTTTAGATGCTAGTTTTAAAAATGCACGATTTTAAAATCTTATAAAACGTTTTCATATTCAGCCATTAAAGGTTTTATTTCATTTCTTTTAATGTGTCACAGCCAGAGAAATTTCCCAAAACCCAATACAAATTTAAAGAGTAATGTCACATTTGAAATGGTTTCACAATGTATAATACTAGTTTTAGGCAATATATGTTTACTACATTTCTGTGATAATGAAACAGAATACTCAGAGTCAAATTTAAAAGGAACATCAGCCCTCCCTACTTTTTGCTTTATTGCAGGTGAATGGAGCCTACATATGCCCTCATGCTTTTATGACTCTGATGAACTTTAAAAGGCATCTTGCATGAATCAAAAGAACGACATGTGTTTTATTTTCATGTGATCTCATATTTTATTTACCCCAGAGCAGTAAATCAATAATTAAGTGCCCAGAAAGTGCTTTTCAAGAGTGTTGTGGAGTATAAAAGACACAGAGAAATCAATTTCTTTTTCCCATCTCAGGAGACTTGATGCCCTTTTGTGTGGCTCATGGCAACAGTCATCTGAACTTTTAAATCTACATGCTCTAAACTCTGAACATTTGGAAGTAAATAGTAACATATTCAGAATGATTCAAACTGCTTTATTTGTCATCATTTCCAAAGTCACTAATAAGTTATTAAGCTCCCTTATGTGAAATTGCTGAAATGAGCAGTTTATGAAGCAATTTACACAGATCTAAAGACTCTGGAAACTTACTACTTAAAACGGGTACATGGTGGCTCACTCCTGTAATCCTAGCCCTTTGGGAGGCTGAGGCAGGCAGATCACTTGAGGTCAGGAGGTCGAGACCAGCCTGGCCAACAAGGTTAAACCCTGTCTTTACTAAAAATACAAAAATTAGCCCGGTGTGGTGGTGTGCACCTGTAGTCCCAGCTACTCAGGAGTCTGAGGCACGAGAATCACTCGAACCCAGGAGTCCGAGGCTGCAGTGAGCCACGATTGCGCCACTACACTCCAGCCTGGGTGACGGAGCGAGACTCTGTCTCAAAAACAAAAAAAAAAACACAAAAAGTTGTACATCAAGACAAGCACTAAATTTGTCCAAGATTTTGAAAAGTTTAAGAAAATAAAGATAATATCTTGAAAGGCCAGAATCCTAGTATCTAGTTCCATTTTCCATTTATTTTACTGAGATCTCCATCAAGCTATTTAACAATGAATTTGTTTTTTGTACCTTCTATGTGACATGTCACCTGTGGTGTCTTCATATTTGAAATCAAGTTATTGGCAGTGTCGCAAATTTGTCATTTGAGCTTTTGTCTTTTTATTCATCTTATAGAACCTATACAAGTCATTAACTGAAATCTTGCCACTTTGGGCCGCACATTTAGCAATTTTTTTTTTGCTGTGGTCAAACAAATCTAAACATATGAGCACATCAGCCCATGGGCAAGAATTAGCTTTATCCTGATAGGAAAATCTTACTACCTTAAGAAAGTTTCTACTTCATGCCCTTTAATAGTATTAATCATATTAATATGATAGATCAGCTTTAAAATAATGGGAAAGTCAAGATGATGCTTTTATTTTAAAAACAGAAATTTAACAGTGCAATATTCACTCATGATTCCTTTAAAAAGAATATTGTCAACAATAGACACTGGGATGACAAGAGGAGGAGGGTGAGGGACAAGGGTCGAAAAATCACCTACTGAGTACTATGCTCACTGGGTGACAGGTTCAATCATACCCCAAACCTCAGGAGCCCACAATATACCCTTGGAACAAGCCTGTACATATGCCCCGAAAAATCTAAAATAAAAGTTGAAATTTTAAAAAAAGAAAAAAAAAGGAGAAATGCCAGAGGAAATAACGATAATAAACGAATATTGTCAGATGCTTATTTGAAGTTATTTACAAAATATATTTGAAGATTAAAAGTAAACTGTACAGATTTCTTCCCATAAACTCTAAGATTAAATATGTATTAATGTGCTTGAGATGAATAAGAACAATATTTAAAATACGGTACATATATATTTAGAGTTAAATCTGAAAAGAACTTAGACATTTAGAAAATACTTTTAAACGTAATAACTGGATTACAGGAAAAAATGAGAACTGTAATTACAGACTATTCTGAAAACTAATGATAATGAGATTACTATACATCTGTATTTCTTATGTTATATAGCCAGAGCAGTACTCAGAGGAAAATCCATAGCCACAGATGTTTTCATTACTAACTAAGACCAAAAATAAACAAGCTTATTAGTCAACTCAAGAGTTATAAACAAAACAGCAAAACAACAATAACAACAACTGGTAAACAGACTTAATCAATGAACTCAGATGAATGAATCCGGAAACAGAAAGAATAAAACTGAAAATTAATCCAAGAGCACGTTCTTTGAAAAAATAACAAAAAACTAGCAAAACTTCTGACATGTCCAACGGGAAATTGAGAAAACATTAATGTATTCACTAGCAAATATAAAGAGAACATAGCAACAAAAACAGGTATTTTATAGAAAATATCCTATAATGCTCATGAGAATACTGAAAAATCTGAATGAATTAAAGGATTTTCTTGGAAATTGTAGAGTCTAAATGGATTTAGAAAGAGTCATGAAATCTGATATAAATGACCATGGAAGAAATGGGAAGTTTTCAGAGAACTTCTCACCACAAATATACACGATTCAGATTATTTATCCATAAAGTTTTTATTTCATATGCTTTTTAAAGTATTTCAAAACACAGAAAGTGCTAGAAATATTTCTATACCACATTCATGGTGATAATAAAAAGAAAACATCTTCAAGAATTAGCTCCTGAAAAGAAACCTATGTGCTATTCTTCATGAAAATAGAGCTAAAAATCTTAGGAAAAACCTAGCAAAATATGTCCAGTAGCTTGTTGAAAATAACTAAAATAGTCAAAATCAAATAATGAAAAATAAAAACAAAAATTAACTTATGTAAGGGTTAGAGCAATGTAAAGAAATTTATCAGTATAATGTACTAAATGATTAAAAAACCCAATGATCATAATAATACATGCTGAAAAGATAGTTACATTTCAAAATCGATTATTGATTGAAATAATTTTTAGTAAACTGGAAATAAAAGGATACTTTTATCAGAAAGCAAATCATATTTAACAGTGACTCACCAGATTATGTGGAGTAGAAACAGTCCCATTACAGTAAGGAAGAAGACAAGTGTCCATGTTATCCCACCATTATGTCACTCTGTTCTGATAGTGCCACTACAATGAGACAAAACATCAACAACTAGGTATTACTATTGAAAAGCAGGAGAGAAACTTTAAAGTATATGCAGATGACATGAAATATGGGATTGCTTTCTGGGAAAATGCAAGAAAATAATCATATATCAAATTGAAAGGGGGAACTAACAACTGGCAAAGAATGTCCATGCAGCAGGGTACGGAGGCTCATGCCTGTCATCCCAGCAGTTTGGGAGGCCAGGCAGTGCATCACTTGAGGTCAGGAGTTCGAGACCAGATTGGCCAACACGGTGAAACTGTCATCTCTACTAAAAATACAAAAATTAGGCAGGCATGGTGGTGTGCCTGTAATCCCAGCTACTCAGGTGGCTGAGGCAGGAGAATCGCCTGAACCTGGTGGGTGGAGGTTGCAGTGAGCCGAGATCGAGCCACTGCACTCCAGCCTGGGCAACAAAGCAAGACTCTGTCTCAAAAAGAAAAAAAAAAAAAGGAAAAAAAGGAATGCCTGTGCACACATAAATTCATGCAAAAAAATTGAGAATAATGAAAATTTTGGCAAAAAAAGGGCAAAGGATCAAATAAGCAGAAAAAGAAATACAAATGACCATTCAACATATAAAAAGTTCAGTTTTACTATGAAACAAAGAATTGCAAATCGAAGCAGTATTTATATACTGCTATACCATTTGTTTTGCCAAAAGAGTTTTGAAAACCAATAAGATATGGTGCAGGACTCTGGAAAACGGACACTCATATACAGCAAATAATCTGTACACTGACATAATCCTTTCGAAAGGAAATTCACATGTACTAAAACCTTACATGTTTCTATACTTTTTGACTCCAAAATTTAAATTTACACCAAAGATATTAATAGAAGTGAATAAAAATGTGTCAGTTTCCAGAATATTTATTATACCATTGCTTGTTGTAATTAAAATAAATTTAAAAACATATAATAGATCTAGAAAATGAATGAAATATTAGACAGTCATTAAAAGATGTGGGAATACACTCAAAGTAACACTGTGGATCGGATGCAGTGCTCAGGTCTGTAATTCCAGCAATTGAGAAGGCTGAGACAGGAAGATTGCTTGAGCTCAGGAATTCGAGACCAGCCTGGGTAATATAAGCAAAAACCCATCCATTCAAAAAAAGTTTAAAATTAGCTGGGTATGGTGGCATGTGCCTGTACTCCCAGCTATTGTGGGGGCGGAGGGTGGCTGAGGCAGGAGGGTTGCTTGAGCCCAGGAGGTCGAGGCTGCACTGTCCTATGATGGTGCCACTGCACTCCAGCCTGGGTGACAGAGCAAGATCCTGTCTCTATAAAAACAACACCACCACCACCACCACCAACAAAACAACAACAATAACAAAAAACAAAAACAAAACACAGTTAAGTTCAACAAAGAAGATGACGAAGCTGTATAATAGCATGATTCCAGTTTTGTTTTTAAGAAGAAATGTATATGTATTTACACACATGCACACAAAAGAAAACACAAGGCTTAGAAAGGTACGTTCCAAATATTTAGAAAATGTTAACATTGATCATTCGTTGACGCTGGTGGAATTACAGGTGATTTCTACTTTTCTCCTTGTGCTTCTTTGTATTTTCTAAAAAGAATTTCTATTGCTCTTTTTAAAAGATGATGCAACAAACATCGAGAAACCATCATTCACAAGAGATTGTCTTCTCAAATGAATGACTTACACTAAGACTCAGTGTTCTATTGTCTTCAACCCTAGTTACATAGATGACTAAGTAAAAGCCAAAGAAAGCCACTTGATACTTTTATGAAGTGTAAGGCTAAAGGAAAACTGAAGCAGATGTCTATGTCCTTAGCATAGCTTTCTTCCTTGATGCAAACAAAATGCTTTGTTATAATCTCTATCTATGCATATTGATTTTTCCTTCCCATGATGACTTCACTTAGTTTAACATTTCCCAAGATGACTTCATCTAGTCTGGCTTTTTTTTTCCCCCCCAGGGGTTAGCTAGGTGAGCTCTTCCTTCTGGAAATTTCCATCGCACTTAATATAGTGACATTGCTAGAATGGCTGGGCTAACTTGTGGCTGCCTCTCCCTTTAGTACAGCTTTTCCTGACTCTGTGTCCTTGCAACCAAGATGAAGGAGAGAGAAAAAGCTTCCTCAGCTGGATTTAGCTGACGGACGTGGGTCCTTTACAATAAAATACCACCCTTACAAGGAGGGAGAAATGATGTGTTTCTCAAAGTGCTGCAGAAGTCTCATTGTTGATATTTTCCTCATTGTTGCTTTGAAAATCCAATATTTCTATTTAACACCAGGGTCACCCAATCTAATTCTGCCATTCATGATTTTTGAGGAACGGGGTGGAATTTGGGGACTGAATTTATGAAGAGGCAGAATGGTAGAGAGGAAAGCCCTGACATCAACCTCTGGGCGGGGCATTGATTGGCATCTGTGGAATGCCCACCGGGGAAAGATTCTTTTACACTCATTATCTTAATTCTCAGAGCATCTCTGAGGTTTTGTTGCAACTTCAGGGTTCTTTTTTAACTTTTATTTTAGGTTCAGGGGTACATGTGCAAGTGTGTTATACAGGTAAATTGTGTGTCACATGAGTTTGGCATACAGATTTTGTCATCCAGATAATAAGCATAGTATTCGATAGGTAGTTTTTTGATCCTCTCCCTCCTCCCACCCTCTACCCTCAAGTAGGTAAGAGGAAGCTCCGAAGCTCTCCTGGGATGTTCACCCGCTGTGGTGAGGGTCAGGTGAGGCCCTTCACAGAAGGGCACCCTTTGTTTACCAGAAAGAAAGGAGTCACGTTTGTTTCCTGAATGAAGATAGTCTATCTATGAACCAGGTATCCTAGTCCCGAAAAGGTGGAAAGTGCATGCCAAGAAAACCTCTAGACAGGACTCAGTTCTTCCCATGAGGCACCTAACCAGAGAATCGCAGAAGGGGCGAGGGAAGGATTCCAACTGTAAGACAGCAGAGGAAACATTCTTTTGAGGTAGAGTCTGGAAAAAAACAATGAATCTGTAGATTTCCATAAATTACTGACAGGAGACAGGCGACTTCTATGAAAATATTAACCCAAATGATGGGTGTTAATCATTAAACCTTTTACGTGATGGATTTGTTCTTTTTCTGATATCTTAATCTGGGTCACAGAATGGCTCAGGCAGCTTTAAGTGTAGAGTAGGTTTTTCTTCCTTTTTTGTTTGCCTTTTTTTTTCTATTCCAAAAGGATGTTGTGACCTTCCTTCCTTCCTTCCTTCCTTCCTTCCTTCCTTCCTTCCTTCCTTCCTTCCTCCCTCCCTCCCTCCCTCCCTCCCTTCCTCCCTCCCTTCCTCCCTCTCTTCCTTTCTCTCTTTCTCTCTTTCTTGACGAAGTTTCACTCTGTGGCCCAGGCTGGACTGCAGTGATGAGAACGAATTCAAGCAATTCTCCTGCCTCAACCACCCAAGTAGCTGGGATTACAGGCGCCCGCCACCACGCCTGGCTAATTTTTGTGTTTTTACTGGAGACAGGGTTTCACTATGTTGGCCAGGCTGATCTCGAACTCCTGACTTCAAGTGATCCACCTCCCAAAGTGTTGGGATTACAGGCGTGAGCCACCATGCCTGGCCAGTGACTGCTCATGCAGAACTCTGTCAACTAGGTAGTTAGCCTTGAAACTTAAAAATACATTAACATGGGCCAGTAAGAGAAAAGGCTGGACAATAACCACTGTCAAAACAGCAACAAAAATAATATTAAAAAATAGCAATAAAAAACCTAACTAACTTTGCATCCAGCTCTGTTCCAAGCAAAAAGAAAAAAACATAAAAACAAACCAGTTTTCTGTTGCTTGAGTGCATCTTTGACTTAAAGGACTTGTTATTTCTCTAAATTTGCAGATGTGTTGAGGCTTGAAATTTGAGCCTGTGACTGTTTTACGAGTTTCAAAAGAAAACATTAAACCACCTAAAATGACAGAGGGTAAACTTTCAGTAAATAATTTGGAGCCATTTAGTTGTAGATCTGTTTTCTGTTCACTCCAGTTGCATAAAATATTAGGAATCACTGGGCTCTGTTTGACATATTTTGGCATTATTGCCACTTTTTCGAGTGCTCAATAGCCATCTATGTGTAGTGGCTGCCATATTGGACGGCACAGACACAGAACATTCCCATTATCACAGAATGTCCCATTGGACAACGCTGTTCTATAGCATTAACTTTGATTTTCACAGCTACCAGATTTTTGGGTTGATCAAAACCAACCCCTTGGCAAGAAATGTTTTTAGAGTGAGACAGAGCAGCTCTGGGAACTAAAATAGTCAGTGAAGTACCTGAGTGTTCATTTTGAAAGAATTGCTTTCTAATAACACTTTCGTTATTGCTGGGCCTTTCTGCATAGTTATCTTAAGCTTGAGTAAATCATTCCTAAAGACCTCTTTCTAATATTTTATTAAGGCAATAATAGACTAAAATGGAAATTGTTAATACAATGGTTTTTATTAAAGTATTTATAGTACATGCTAGAAATATGAACTGATGACACAACTAGTATGTGTCACTTGGCCTGTGAAACCATATGTGGCATATAAAGATATGTTCAATTTTATACATTTGTTGAGCACCTATTTTGTGTCAGATATATGCACAACAGGTGGCTAAACTGCTATGGACAATCTTGTATATGTTTTTTCTGTATGCTTTCTTTTGGTTGGGTATTTAGGAGTAGAAATTTGGGTCGCAGAGTATACATATGTTGAGAGCTATTATCTCTTTCCTTATCCTCTTGTGAGTTCTACACCTTCTCATTAGTATATGTGCTCAATTTCACTTATGCATGGAGGCTCTCTCTTTGAAATGTTTTGAATGCCCTAGGGGAAATATGCTATGTATTTCAGTGAACAAGCTTTCAACCTGTTCACACTTGTCCAGGATAAGTTGGTTTCACTGGCAGGATACAAAACCCAATCTAGAACTACATCAATCCTGTTCTGATCTAAATAGCTTGGGGCTTTCTTTTGTGAC